TGGGACACTCACCTCTAGACTGTCACTACCATCTGCCTCCCGGTCTATGATGTCAAAAATGTCCTCGTGGATCTTCTCTCCCTGTAGACATGGGGAGGGTCAGAGTGAGACAGAACCATGGAACAAGGACTCTGACCTCAGAGTAGCCACCCTCGATTTTCCCTATAGTACCTAAAAGTCCTTTTTTGGAGCACAGCTGCCTTTTATCTGCACTGAGAGGCAGTACAGCACAGTGGTTACAAGGAAACACTCTATATCCAGACTAGCTGAGTTCATAAATTAGCTCTATTTAGCTGAGTGACTCTGGGTAGATTACTTCATCTTTCTGTGCCTCAGTTTCCTTATCTGTACAATGAAGGTGGTAATATAGGTCCACAGTCCCTTATCTAACATACTTGGGGCCAGTTATGTTTTAGAATTTAAAACATTTCAGATTTTAGAAAGGTAATATGGCACATATAATGTATACTAAATAATATCCCACTGGGGGTCTGAGGTGCATTAATCAAATACATTAATATTTCTGTAATAAAAGGTATCACTAGTTGGATAGAAACTATAAAAAAGCCTGTCTGCACTGAGATTTGGTTTTGCTGCTAAACAAGTTATGAAACATCTTTTGGTTTCAGAGCTTTTGGGATTCTGGAAAGGCAGATAAGACTGTGGACCTGCAGTACCTACCTCTAGGGTTGCTGGGAGGTTTAAATAAGTTAATTTACGTAAAGCACGCAGAGTGGCCTGACACACAACCCTAGTTGGTGTAGGCCCTTAATATTAATTAATAATTGTATATTAATTAATTGTAATTAATTTAGTTAACTCTCTGTAGCCATGTCTCTCCCCCTCCAGCACTCATACATTCCTGATCTCGTTTCATTTCTCTCTGGGAAGTTATAGGGCCTGTCCTCACAGGGGGTGTTGTGGGCCCTGCCAGGGAATAGCAAATAACCTGGGAGAAGCCGCTGGCCCAGTTGTTGCCAGCTCCTCCTCCGTGCTCTGACAGGTAGATGTTCTCTGGGTTGTAGAGCTTGGCATAGGGGGAGTTGAGGATGGAGTGGATCACCCGGGGCTCCAGGTCCAGCAGCACAGCCCGGGGGATGTAGTGCTCATCGTCTGCCTGTCAAGGGAAGTCCAGGAGGGGGCCCAATCAGCTAGGGCAGGCCAAGTCCTAAGTCCTCCCAACTCTGGCTCCTTCTGGCCCTCCCTCCTCAAGACAGCTGCCTGGCCCCTCTGCCCAGCGGGTTTCCCGGTACCAGGCCACTCCCTTCCCTTCAGGCCCCTGGGCCCCTGGCTGCCCTGGCCAAGTCGCTGGGGGCACCTGGTAGAAAAAGACGTCCTTGCGGTCAGTGCCCTCGGTGGCGAACTCCTCCACGATGCCCTCGGGGCTGATACCATGCTCGGCGCACAGTTGTTTCCAGAACTCGAACCCAACTGGGGGAGGGGCGGGGGAGAAAGAGGATATATGAGTCTGGGCAGGTGCCAATTAGGAGCGCCTGGATCCGGGGATAAGAAGTCAAGCCGCTAGACTCGCCCATGTCTCAGGAAGGGCTGTACGCCAGCGACTGGGCAGGGAGGGCCCCTCGGGGCTGGGCAACTGGACACTGGGTCAGAGACGTCCAGCCTTTCCAAGAACCACGACTCTGGGAAGGACAGACGGAGTCCAGGATCCCATGGCGAGATCCCATTGCATCTAAGTAACCTGGCTAGTGGGGGGCAGGAGGTTCGCTCACTCTGATTGCCGCACTGGCCCAACTGCAGGGTGATGATTTCTCTCGGCATCGCTCTTCAGGCACCGGCGTTGCACCCGCTCCCGCCAGCAACTCCGCTGCTCGCTTGCCCGCTCGCGGAAAGACGCAGGCGCCAAACAACCTGCCCCACCCACCAACTTTCTCCGCTCCAATGAAAACTGAGTTCTGGCGATGGCACGTCCTTATTCATTTGGCTTCAGTCATGCAGACTGCGCGTGCGCGGCTCCGGATCGGGCTCTGCGCCTCGGCGCGGGGGCGTACTTTGACGCAGCGTCCTCCCCCTCTTCTGGGTGGACGCGTGCTTGAGCCCATACGCAAGCGCGTTGTGGTGAGAAGCGGCCTCCCCCACTGAATCCCGCATCTGCGCAGTTGCTGTTATTGTGACTGTCGGGCCGCGGCCCCGGATGTTGTGGCTGCCGGGGGGAGATGGCGGAGGCTGAGAGGGTGGCCGCGGCCCCAGGCCCAGCTTCGGGGTCGACTTTCAGGGGCTGCCGCACTACGTCAGGCTCCTGGGAGCGAGACCAGCACGTTGAGGCGGCGCAGCGGGCCCTGGTGGAGGTGCTGGGGCCTTACGAGCCCCTGCTGAGCCGGGTGCAGGCAGCCCTTGTGTGGGAGCGGCCAGCCAGAAGCGCCCTGTGGTGCCTGGGGCTGAACGCGGCTTTCTGGTGAGAGAACTGGACCCTTGGAAACCCTCTGAGGCGCGAATTCGTCAGGTTTCTCTAGGGCTCTACCTCTCGCCTGCCCTGTTTTCTTCGCTGCACTGGCTCCTTCCTGTATCTGCCTATTTTTGCCTCACCTCCTTCCACTCCATCCCGCCTCCAGGCTTTGGCACCTCAGTTCTTGCCAGTGCTTTCCACCTGTCTTCCCTGCTTTACCTGCGCCCACACCCCCGCCCCTTATCTCTGGCAGGAGCTTTTGGGAACTTCTTGAGCCACTCGCAGTAAGCGAGGGCGCCTCTTTTTAGCCAGGGAAAGCGGTGTCCCTTTAAGGCCATCACCCCTCTTCTCTTATCTGTCAAGTGTGGTTTGAAGACTGTCTCCTGAGATTTGAGTAGTTACTGCTGGAATAGAGGTGTGAGGTCGTGAAAAGGTATCCATAGGTGTGATAAGAAAACAAGCTTGAGCCTTTAGCACGAATTCACACGTTAGATAATCGAGGAAGGAAGTTTGTGAAGTCTGAGCGTCAGTGAGCCTCCAAAGCTGCAACTTGAAAGAAAATGCAAGCTTTTAAAGAACAGTTAGGAAATAGTGATTGTGAGATTTCATCCGTTCCAAAGCCTCTTATGATTGCAACTCCTCCCTCTTCCAAGGAATTAGGCATATTTAGCCATGGTTTATAGGCAAGGAAATTGAGGATGTCTAATACTGTGTGTGAGTTTTCCTGAGCTGGAAAAGTGGCACCATAAATATGCATTAAGTATCTGTATGTGTCACGCTCTGTGAAAATGAACTGCTGCTCCTCTCAGTTGTCATCACCCAAAGTGGACTTAGCTTCATAGGATCTACCAAGCTTAGTTTGGATTTGTTCATAACTCAGAAAGTTCCAAGGGAACCGACCCCTGTAGGTGGGGCTTCTGCAGGTGAATGGAATAAGACTGAAACAGCAAAGGATGTATTTTCTTTAAAAAAAAAAAAAAAAAAAAGTGTTTTTGGTAAAATAGCTTTCCTCTTAAAATTTTTGTTTTAAAATCAAAACCTTATGCTTTGTCTGAAAGAAGATTTTCAGTGAGCTGGAGCAGAACAAATAATTCCAAGTTCATTGACCTGAAGACAGTGTTCAACTCTCTCCCTGTTTGAAGGAGACCCAGGTCAGAGGTGTCACAGCAATCTCTGGCATTTGTTGCTTCCAGAGTCTTTAGCAAACTTGATGGTAAACTTTTCCTGCTACACTCCTCATTTATTTTTGGTAGTGCTTCTTCCTTGACCCTCAGGTACCAACCTCCCTCCCGTTGCTCTGTGTCAGAAACCCTTAACTATGGCACCTCATTCAGGAGCGTTTATCCAGTCAAAACTTCATTTCCCACGTGGGTTTGGTACCTCTAGGAAGAAGGTTGGTTCTCCAGAAGCCAATTTGTATCGAACTATGACTGGCTGATGAAGAAAACTTTATCAGGGTTTAAATGAATTTTAAACCAAAGGTTTATCAATGCAAATGAATTGATAGCATGTATGTTGTTATTTTTGAGGAGGGGACTTTTCATATGCCCCTTGTCTGAAAGAGATTTCTGAAGCAGAATTTGGGGTTGAGGTTTGCACATAAGGTTTGCACATAAGCTTTAATTTGCTGGCCCCTAACAGTGTTTACTTAAGTTTATTAATATGCTATGTTTAGAATCTCACTCAGAACCCTCTTTTGTACTCTGGGTCTCTTAAAGCACTGTTGTGATTGGTCTTTATCTCTGGTATTTCCTGGTAGCTTGCCTGCTGTGTATCCAGAGCTCAGTTACTCTTGTTACTTTCCCATCACACTCTAAGAAGGTGAGGGAGAGATGTAGCAAAATGAGGGTGTGACTCTTGAGACTGAAAGAACAGTTGAGTATGCCATTTATGTAGAGGACTCATACCTACATGCAGGGCACAGGTAGTGTTAAAAGCCCAGAGACTAGGGCATTGGAGTTCACAGAATTGTTTGGGGAGATGAGCTTCTTTGGAAGGTAATCTGAGATTTAAAATGAAAGTTGGACTTCATATTCCAGCGGTGTCATATTGAGTGTGAGTGTTGACATTTCACTTAAGAATGTTTCTTTCTCAAACATTTTACTTTTTTTGTTAATCCTATGAGGTGTAACAAATATTTTAAATGTTTAGGAAAGGGAGGAGGATCATTAGCTCAAGTCAGAAAAATCAAATCTGAAATACTTAGTTTTTCTTTCATGATTTATTTTGAATAATGGCACATTATGAACTTAGGTTTTTATGCATTTTGAGGTATTAGAAGATTGGAGTACCAAAAAAAATCATCAGAATTCAGGTAGGTAGCACTCACTCGTAGTGTTCTGTATTCTCAGTCATGGTTTTTCTGTACCTGTGAATGTTCCCTCTTACATCTTAAAAAAAAAAACAACCATGAAAGGTAGAGATAGCTGTAGATACCTTGTCACTATAGTATTTCAAGGTTCTCACTTTTTTTTTTCAGGTTCCAGAGAAATTATGATGGCCATATCAGAGATCTTCCAGTCTAGATTACTTCTGGTCACTGATCTGATTTTATCTCTAGGATAATAATGGAAATGTCAAGCCTTCCCTTCCAGTAGCTTGTATTTTCATTAGCTTCAACCTCATCTGTAAATGAGTGATTTGGGGAAGAATGTGAGAGTCAGCAAGCATGTATCCTGACAGGATCAGAAAAGAACAGGTTCGAGTAACTTTTTTGTTTGACTCATACATAGAGACAGGGGAGGGTAAATGAGCACTGGAAATGTGTGTGAACTCCAAGCTCCCTCCCCCCACTCCATGAAGAGCACACGGTTCAAGGAGGGCTAGATGACTGCTGAGCTCCATTACAGTTTTTAACATTCTGTGATTTCTAGGTGGTTTTTGAATTAGGAATATTGATTTAGAACAACCCACAAAATGATTCCCTGTTGGAATTTGCTTTTACAGTCACTAATCTGAGTTAACCATACTGTACCTCTGGAGGTTACTATGGAATCTGTTGTTTTCACAAATGAGAAAAAAAATGTGTTTCCCTTCCCCCAAAAAACCCAAAAAATGAAAAAAATGACCTGAGAAGTAATTAAGGCTATAAAGCAATTCTGATTTAAAATGTTAGCATTTGAGTCAAAAACAATAATGAGGAACAGGAAATGGAAAGGAGGGCCCATTTAAGTAAAGACATTTGTTCCATGGGGAAGAAAATCTGCATATCAAATTTCCGATGAGTTGAATAAATGGTTGGTTTTTTTTTCTTTTTTTTTTTTTTTAAGGCAGAGTCTCATACCTGAGCTAGAGTGTAGTGGGGTCATCAAACTCCTGGGCGCAAGCGATCCTCCTGCCTCAGCTTCCCTAGTAGTTTGGACTACAGGTGTGCCCTACCACACCTGGCTAACATTTTTTTTTTTTTTCTTTTTTTAGAGATCTTGCCTTGTTGTTCAGGCTGGTCTCCAACTCCTGGCCTGAACTGATCTTCTTGCCTCAGCCTCCCCAATGCTGGGATTACAGGCCCACTGCACATGGCCTCTTTTTTTTTTTTTTTTTTAAGAGACTGCGTCTCGCTCTCTTGCCCAGGCTAGAATGTAATGGCGCAATCATGGCGCATTGCAACCTGGAACTCCTGGGCCCATGCAATCCTCCTGCCTCAGCCTCCCAAAGTACTGGTATTGTGGGATGAGCCACTGCACCTAGATTGAGCAAATGTTTCTGATGATGGTCTTTGGAGGGTTCTTGTTACCTTTGGTAGCTAAGAAGACTCCCAACCATGCGTTGGTTTACTTTGCCTCTCTTTGCTTTCAGTTTTTATCTGCTCTAATTGTAAGCTTGGGTGCTTTCTCTCCATTATTATCAGCAGCTAGTTGGTTTCATTTCTGTTTTTGTGCAAGGAACAACTATCACTACGTAATGTAGGTTGAGTTAATTTTTTCCTTAAAATTTACTGGTGACTTGGGCTTATTAACCAGACAGTCACAAGTGCTGTGCAATAATGGGCTTTCAGTCCCTGTAGGATGGGATGCTTTGTTTTGAAGTGCCACTGAGATGTGCTTACTCTGTAATAGCAAAGGAGCCTGGAAATAGTATCTTCTTTGATTGAAAATAGATGTGTGGTCATTACTTTATTTGTGATTTTAGCAAACTTTAATTTACCTGTACTAATAATGAGGATCCATGGTATAGTTAACCTCAAAAAGATTACGTTTGGTTCTGGAATTTCTCATGATCTTTCTGGACACAAGATTGCTATTCCAAGGGATATTTTAGTTTTTAAATTTTTTGTAGAGATGGGTTTTTACTGTGTTGTCCGGGCTGGTCTCAAACTCCTGGCCTCAAGCCATCCTCCTGCCTCGGCCTCCCAAAGTGCTGGGATTACAGGTGTGAGCCACCTCACCTGGCCTGAGATATTTTATTTATACTGATAATTTAATTTAACTAGATTTTAGTCCCTGACAAAGCAGAGGGACAGTTTACAAATGGAAAAATATCAATGGATATATAAAATTTCACTCTCACTAGTAATAAAAACCAAATATACATAAATGGCAGTGAGTTGTTAATTTCTACTTAAGTTTGAAAAAATGATAATTCTGGGGAAAATATGGAAAAATGGGCATATGGCTGATAGGAACATAAATTGGACAGCCTTTCTGGAAAGTAGTTTGGCAGTGCATATTAAGCTATTTAAAAATTAATACCTTTTCCAGGGCTGGGAGACATGGGGAAGTGATTGCTGATGGGTATAGTTTCTTTTGGGGTGATGAAAATTTTCTAAAATTAGATAATGGTGATAATTGCATAACTAGTGAATATACTAAAAACTATTGGATTAGATAATTTAAAAGGGTGAATTTTATGGTATGCACACCATATCTCAATAAAGCTATTATATAAAAAGTGTTTTTTGATCCAGTAATTCCAATGGGTAGTTAATCATAGATAAGGACAAAGATTTATGCTCAGTGATGGATACATAGTTCAGTTTTCTTGATTACATCAAAAATTGGAAACAGTCTGAGTTTAGAAAATGGTTTAAAAGACTGATGGTTTATATGTATGATGCAATCATTTAGAAGGTTTTTGATGCTTTTCTGGTGATACAGGAAATCATGTCTATGTATTACTAAGTGAAAAACTAGATATGCCATATAATTCCGTAGTGTTTGTATATGTGAATATTTTTTTAAGTGGAGACAATAACCTCTCTTCACATTTTAGAGTATGTATGTGGATGATGGATCATTTTAAAAACTTTATTATGGAAAATTTAAAACGTATGCATAAGCAGATAGAATAATATATACCACCATGTACTCAGCTTTACATTTTGTAAATTTATGGTCAGTTCCCTATCTTCCGTACCCTAGTTCTTTTTACCTCCTCCTCAGTATTTTGAGACAAAGCCTGGATGTCATATCACTTAATCTTTAGGTATTTCAGTATGTGTTTCTGAAAAATAGACTTAAAAAAAAAAATACTACTGCCATTATCACATGTAAAAAATTAATGATTACAGTCAGTGTTCAGTTATCTGATTTCTTACAAAGGTTATCATAAATGATACTTTTTTTTTAAGACTGGGTTAGGATCCAAATGAAGTCCATATATTGTGACTGATAACTCTGTTTTGTTAAAGAAACCCTTTTGTCTTGTAAGTATCCTACAGATTGGATTTTGCTGACTGCTCCCTGTGGCTGAACATAGCCCCCTGTGCTCTGTATTTCCTGTAAATTGGTAGTTGGATCTAGAGGCTTGATCAGATTCAAGTTCACAAAAATTTTTTTCTTTTGGTAAGGCTATTTCCTAGATAGTGATGTACTAACTTCATTTTAATTTTCTTTAATTATTTATATTTTCTAAACTTTCTCCAATACACATGCTTGCCTTTAGAAATAAGAAAAAAAATATATAATTAAAAAATAGGGCCGGGCACAGCAGTTTATGCCTGTAATCCTAGAGCTTTGGGACGCCAAGGTGGGAGGATCTCTTGAGGCTGGGAGTTCAAAACCAGCCTTGACAACATAGTGAGACCCTGTCTCTACAAAAAATAGAAAAATCAGCTAGACGTGGTGATATGGGCCAGTAGTCCCAGCTACTGGGGAGGCTGAGGCAGAAGGAGCACTGGAGCCCAGGAGTTTGAGGTTGCTGTGAGCTATGATGACACCACTGCACTCTAGCCCAGGCAACAGAGTGAGGCCCTGTCTCAAAAAAAAAAAAGAAAGTGAGCCTACAGTGAGTTGAAGAAATAATGTGCTGTGGCAGTCCTCAAATTGAAAAATTCACATGTGAGTATCCAGATTTGACTATATGTGCAGTTGTTTCTGCTAAGTTGGAAATTTCTCATCCTGATTATAGTTGATGAAAAATATTTTGCATGTTCCCTTATCAAACTTGTATACTGTTATATCTGCTTGTGAATTTTTTGGCCTGCAAGAATAGACATTGCCGGACTAAACTAACCCAGAGGAAGCCTCCCTTATTTTTCTTCCATCCCTTACCTATACCAATCTCAAAAGTACTTTATCTTCAGTTATATCTTATCCTCCTTGCACATAGTTGCTGAGTTTATTTTACTGGTGGACTTCCAGGTTACCTCTATAAAATGACAAGCATGATGTGACCTCATTATGCATAAAACACATAAATCTAAGGTTGATATTCCCTTTTTATTTAGAAATTTCGTATTGAGGGCTGGAAGGAAAGGAGGAGGACACACTTATCCATAGTATTTTGTATCTGATAGATCCCTAAGGAACCTTAATAATAATTGCCTAGTTAGTTACCTTGAAGGGGTCAACTCTAGTTCTTTGCAGTAATCTTTCCATTAAGTTTTTCATGTATTTAGAAGAAGCTATTTTCCCAAGAAATGTTAGTTTATATCATACAGAAAAACTCTTCTTGCTCTGAAGTTCTGCAGTGGCTTATTCAAGGAAAGGATACATCTAGGCCTAAAATTGATTTATGGACCAGGATTAATCTTGTTCAGGAAGATGCTCAGTATTGTAGCCTTCATGACCCACAAAATACTCCCTTTATAAAACTCTGTATTGGCTTACCTTCATCTTCAGGATAAAACCCCAATACCCTTTATCATAAAAGGCCATCATGATCTGACTCCTGCCTCTCTTCCCACACTGATCCCCTCCCTCTATTTTTTATATTTTAGTTCTAGCAAACTACTTGTAATTCCTTAAATATCTTACTAGCTCGCTGTTCTCCCTGTCTGAATGTCCTCTCTTCTTTTCCCACACCTTTTTGCCCTGTTTTCTTATCATTTATCTTTCAAATTCCAGCTTAGATATCCTCCTCTTTGTTATTATTACCTTGTTATATTTTATCATACACACACACACACACACACACACAAATACACTTGAGAATAAGGTTCATGTGTTACACTTTTTGTAACTGGGCTTCTTTCCACGAGGCCTTGGGATATAATAGACACTCAATAAATGCTTGTTGAATTCAGTTTAAGCATAGCTTATGCGAGTGAGTCTATAACAAACTGCTAAAATAGTTCAGGTCTTGGAGAAACAGTATTTTTATTGCCACCATCTTTGTAAAACCAACCTTTTTAGGCACGCTTAATATCCCTTCCCAGTTTCTATTTGTGTTAGTAATCATGCTCTGGGAAGGGGAGATGCAGACAGTCTAGATTGCCTCCCTAGAGAGCCCTTTCAAGTACTCTGGAAAAAACAGTGGTGTTACATGCTGCAGCTGGGACGGGGAAGCAGCAGCACGGGGGAGCAAGAAACTCTAGATCCCTTATCCTTGGCCTTGTTAAATTTGCTTGTTTGTTGGGAGGATGCCCTGGCTTTGGAGAGAAGATTAATAGCCTGAGGCAGCTCTAGAGGCTTACTTCTGTTAAGCTGCTTTCATTCTTTAATCTCATATATAATTACAGTATCTTTTAAGTGGTGGGGTGGAAAAGTTGGAATAGGGTTGTCAATGGTGACTGTATCTCTAAATTCTCCTTGTTTGCTTCCATCCCTCATTCTTTGTATAGTTTTTAAATTGTTATTTTTAAAAATTATACAACTAACATGAATGCATGTTTATTCAAAAAAGTACAGAAATGTCTAGAGACAAAATTTAAAGTTCCTCTGCCAAGCCAGGTGTGGTGGTGCAGGCCTGTAGTCCCAACTACTTGGAAGGCTAAGGCAGGAGAATCGCTTGACCCAAGAGTCGAAGGCTATGATCAGGTCACTGCACTCCAGCCTGGGCAACAGAGCAAGATGCCATCTGCCATCTCTCTCTCTCTCTGTGTGTGTGTGTGTGTGTGTGCGTGCGTGCCTCTCTCTATT